GGATCCAAGATGACTTCGCTATATCCGTAAATTCGCAATATCCGTGTTCGTACTAACCAAGTTTTGCTGTATATTAGTTGTAAAACTTGAAAGAGTCATAAAGAAACCTGATCTTACTGATCAGATGTTTAAGTATTGATAATACTTTGGTGTTAGTATTACTGTAAAGCAACTTTTATTTGTGTGCGAGAAATATATGCGAGTTCTACTCTACAGACCTGCCTTAACCCTTCCGCTTTTGGTGTAATTTTTCCGCTTTCTACCAGAAATTTACGCTATTACGCCACTTATATTAATTTTACGCTTTTGATATTTTGGTATATATAAAAATTCCATGATTATGAACGTCTAGATTTAGCGCTAAAGTACGAGACGCTGAAATGAAATGAGAAGTTCTTATGAAAGTAATTAATTAAAGATCGATAGCGCAAGTAATATACCTAGTGGTTACATGTAAACTGGTATGGCGAGAATTTGGAAGTAGACAAGAAGACACTACTAACATTAACTATTAAATGATATTGCAATAAGTACAACTATTTCTGTGCTCAATTTAGTTTACTTAATCATTGCTTAGAACAAGATAGAGAAATGTGAGTGTTAAAAAGATTAAATACAATTTTATAATGTACAGGAAGTGTAAACATGAAAACGCAAGCCTTCAATTAAGTGATTTGATACAAATTGACCAGATGCTACACTAAGGGTGTACGATTGAATTGACTTTGATATAGGATACTGGTATTTTACAACACTTTTTGCCAATAGATGATTCGAAAAATTAAGAAAAGTTTATGCTAGCTTTGTTCAGTAATGTAAAATTTCGGTTGTTTTGAAAGAAAATAAAGTATAGTAGAACAAAAAAGAAAAGGAAAACATGACTGATTATGCTTTTAACTCTGAAATTCCACCAAAAATGTATTGAAATTACACTCTCGCAATGAAAAGGGTAGGCAGGTCTGACTCTATCTCGCAAATATTAATCGCAGTGAACCATTCATTTTTCCTTAAGTATTTGTAGTCCAGAACGGTTCTTCAGTCACGAAAATTAATTGTGACGGATTGATTTCAACTTAATGAATCATAAATAAAATATGACGCAAATAATAGTTGGTTTACAATATTCTTGAAAAATCATAATTTTTTTACTTTCGCATCTATAAATACAATGTATGATTGCATCCTGTATTAATTATGCATAGTATGAATTATGGAGATATCTGATTTAAGTGACTGACAGTCACTACAATGTGGATAACTATATGAATTATCTTTAAATAAATAAATTAATTTTCATGAGATTGCTATTTGGTACACTGTATTTATAAACAAGACAAATTTTTTTATGAATATCAGTCTTTGCTCTGTTTATTCTTTAATAATACTAAATATATATACACTCACAATAAAACAATTTTCACGAGGAGACAGACTTAAAGCTTGCATACATATACATATAAGTAAGTATGCAAAAATAAAGTTCTCGCAAATAAAAAGTAATTTACAGTAGTCAAGCTTAAGCGTCTGAAAAAGGCTGTTTCAAACATTCGTAAGACTCGAATTCATATGAAGGTTTGATTTGTCTTCTCGCTGCGACATACACACACGATTTTTAATGTGTCAATGATTGAGATGTCAAAAGTATTGCATTTGGATTTTGATAAGAACATAATTCTTCATAACTGAGTTATTTAGGAGCATATTCTATATTTTAACTCCTTTTGAAGAGTCCTATGAACAGGAAATCTATACAAGAACTAAAAATTAATGCATGTACGTATTCTCTCTTTTCAGATAGCTGGAAATGACTTGACATCAACGGGGCCAGAGAGGGCCCCAAACCAATCAGTAAGTCAAGAGAAGTACAAGGTTATTAAAACAAATTTACAGATTTAATTGCCTGCATGGATGTTTACACTTCATTCAGTTATTTGATTGCCAATGTGAAGAAATATAACTAAGTGTTCATTTCATCTTTATATAATAACCAGATTTTTATGCCCCCCTGATCGAAAGATCTCGGGGGGGAATATTGTTTTTGTCCTGTCTGTCACCTAGCCCATAACTATTGCGCTTTCATTAGGGCAAGGCTTTTAAATTAATATTTGATATGAGTGTGTATTATGACACCTTTCCATTGGTACAGAAAATTTTGATCATGTGACCTCAACTGTTACTTTTGACCTACATTTGAAAAACTTGAACATTGTATGGCCATAACTATTGCACTGTAGAATTGTGTAACCATCAGGGGCATAGTATTTCAAAAACACATATTATTTTTAATTTTTTGATTCAAGAGGTCAGTGAAACTCAAGTTATTCAGCTTAAAGCAACAATATCATGGACTGAAAAACCAATTATTTGCGTCTTTTATCATAACATCCCTTACACCAGATGTAAATTAATTTAGAACTATATTAGCTTATGCTGTCACACCAACTTTCATTCACAAGTGAGAAATATCTGGGGGTATCGCAAATATTTCTCATCACGAACTAATTATTCATCTTTCATGTTTATGCAGAAAATTAGAAGATAGGGATGGATTCCAAACTAAAAGATGTTGTAAATGATAATTGCTTTACAGTAGTGCTAATAAGATTCTTGAAATTTACATAAATAAGATGGGTTTGCTTTGTTTAAGATGAGTAAAATATTTCCCTGTAGATGGATGAGAGCACCGGTGAAAATATAAGGAAAGATGAGCAAGATCTCAAGAGGTCAGATGCCGTCACGCAGATGCACGCCGCTGCAGTCAACGGCGACAAAGCTCAGCTGGCCAAAATCATTGTCTGTGAGTTGTAGCTTTATATTCTGTTAATATAGGCACATTTAAAAAATGGCAGCTAGTTTAATTTTAAAGTAGTTAAGCTAGTTAAAAAAAATTCTACAAATATTACAGTTTGTCATTCTATAATGGCATCCATTTTTTATCCCCAAATAAGAAAATACTACTTTCAATGATTGTTATGTAATTCAGCCTTGACCTGTATATTTAATATTTTTAATAGACTCAGATTTGTTGTTCTTTCACAGCTAGTGGACAGGATATTGACCATGGGGACCAGTTTGGGAGAACCCCCTTAATGTTTACAATCCTTGCTGACCGACTGGAGTGTGCAGAACTTCTGCTGAGGGCTGGAGCCAATGTAAACTGCAAGGATAAAGGTGGTCGTACCGCCCTCCACTGGGCAGCCCATAAGGTTAGTCTCGGTTAACAGTGAATGTATTACAGAAATAAACACAACAAGTTTCCATTAAGAAAGTATTCAATTGTGACAAAGTTTTGGATTTTTTAGTTACTACAGTACTGTAAAACCATGGTATATGTTGAACATCAGTGTATCTTGGATACCTTGGAGATTTCAAAATGAGTTGTTTGTCCCAACTGCCTTATTCCCACATACTTGAATATCTCAAAGATTTTTGTAGGCTTTGTTGAGTTCTGGATAAGAAGGTTTGACTGTACATATTCCATCTTATTTACAGGGTAACCTGAGAATGTTGAAACTACTCCTGGCTAAGGGGGCCAGTATAAGGGACAAGGACAACGAAGGTCAGACAGCGGTACATCTCTGTACCAGGCATAAGTCACCCAAATGTATGGCTCTACTGCTACGGCAACTGTCACCAGGGGAAATTGATGACCAAGACAGAAATAAGGTACGGAAGTGAACTTTGATATTATCCCTCATAAGTGCTCAGTATGCATATTACCCTGGTTAGTAAACACATAGTGCTGACATCATCTGCCTCTTGATATTTCTGGACATGAATGAATCTAATTTTAAAAGTTTTACTGAATTCTTGTAAAGAAAGGAATTATAGTAACTGTTGTAGAATATTTGAAAGTAGGATTGTAATTAATTTGATTGTTTTCCACAGAGAACAGCACTCCACTGGGCAGCATCATATGGCAATATGGAACACGTGAAAATGTTGATCAAACAGGTAGGTTACATGAACAAAGTGCATGTAAGGCTAACTACCATTCATTCTTATTCATGCATGTATAAAAGGATTGGGGTTTTCATTAAATATTTAAAAATTCTCTAAAATTTCAGCTAAAACTTTTTCTAGGATAATCATGGATGTTCAGGCCATGCTGGCCTTTGTTTTCTTAGTCTTAATTTCACCAAAGTGGTATATATTGTGCACTTTGTTGTCAGTTGCTGTTATTGTTATATTATTATTTAGGATTCTAACATTGGTATTCCTGATGTCGAGGGGAAGACACCACTCCACTGGGCCGCCAGTAGCCGGGATTCAGAGGCAGTCAACTGTGTCAAAACAATACTGGTAAGACTTCCTGGCATATATTCTATTAAATACTGACACCAATGTGTTTAGGAAAGTTTCACTCTCAAACTTATTATCACTTCCAAAGATTTTATGGAGCAAGAACAACAATTCATGAAAATTTTGTCTCCCTAATAGAGTGGATGACTATCTTTTACAAAAAAAATGGTGTCACGAAAATGAAGTTATTTAAAATACTTGAAAATCCCAGATTTACAGAGGTGTGCATAAGTGGAGGATAATTTTATGTTAAAGGCAACTGGTCTTAAAAAAAAGCAAAATTAAATAAATCCAGATGTTTCATGGCTTTGATTTGTTAGATGTATCTGTCCTGTATTCATTAATCTAATGTAGAACTGTCACTTTTCTCAATATAAGTAATAGGCATATTATCAATTGCAGTTACTATTATCTGACATTACTACAAATACACTGTACTATGATACATCTTATGTTTTCCACAATGGCTGAATTTCCTGTATTTACAGGATACCACGCCCAGCGTTATAAATTGGCAGGATTACGAGGGACGAACAGCCCTTCATCTGGCCGTAGCAGACGGGAACGAGGCCATTGTTAGAGCACTGGTAGACTTTACTTGTATTCACTGAATATTTCAATGAAGACCTGACCCTGGGGTCATAAAAATTTGATGTGCTCACTTTTGATCTCGGTCTCACTTTTACCAAAGGAATATGTACAAAATGTAGTGGAAAAGTGAGACTGAGATCAAAAGTGAGCTCATTTAAGTTATATGACCCTGAGGCCTGTTCATATTTTTAATTTAATGCCATTAATTTTGAGTTCTAGTCTTGATAACCGGACACATTGGTTTCATGAGACACACTATTTAGTACTGTAATACCCTAATGCCTGTTTTGATTTAATTGTGCTATCTTTCAGACGGCGGTGGAGAACTGTAATGTGTCTGCTCTAGATAACATGTTCAGGACACCATTACACTGGGCAGCTGTATTGGGTAAGTTTCAAATACATGTGTCACAGTGGATTAAATTTTGAAAATTCAATAAGATCTGCACAAACATTACTTGCATAAACTCTCTCAGAAAAGTCAAAAACCGATACAATATGTTGTATGTTATAGGAGAAAGCACAGAAAATATTACATTGTATTAGCAGACATTCTCTTTAGGGTGCAGACAGGCAGTGCACGTTTATCATGATCTCTAATTATTTGACAGGCCATTCTGCTGTGGTTGCGCTGCTGCTGGACAATGGTGCTGAATATTCTGTATCAGATTCTAATGGTGCCACTCCACTCCATTATGCTGCCCAGAATAATCACTATGTGAGTTGAAAAAAAAATGATGTACTGATAGAGTCTTTTTTTTAATTTTAAAATGATTTTATTAACTAGATTGCTAATGCACAGTTTCGTTTTCCTGATATGGTTTTCAAATTAATTTCAGAGCAAAGAAAATGTTATATTCAAATAAGGGTGCTGATGATAATCTAAACAAAGGGGAATAAATCTTAATAATCTATTTGCATGACAAATGTGATTTGATGTTAATTTTCTTTTCTCCTATAGGAAACTGTTGAGGTGTTCCTTTCGTGTAAGAATGTTGTAGATGAGCCAGACATTGAGGGTCGCTCGGCGTTTATATGGGCTGCTGGGAAGGGTGCGGACGAGGTCATCGGAGTCTATCTCAAACATAATGTGGACATACAGCAGGTAGACAGTCACGAAGGATCAGGTAAGTCCACTTAACTAGGCATGTCCATTACTTACCAGTATGGAAAATTTAATCCTGTTGTGTATCTTAGTGAAAAAAATTTCTGTAAATTCCTTTTATTTCGAGATGATTAGTACACATTTACTGCAAAAGTGCTCTTAGACAATCGCAAGAACAATTACGGTTTTCACAAGTAGATGGTTGCTCAACAGATTTTTCATATATATCAGCACCATAACAATAAAGTATATTTAGGAATCTACTGTATGTGGGTGAAACTGATGATCCTTTAATGATTTTTAATTGCAGGAGTAATTTTTAAAATCTTCTTGAAACTTAAGATTGATGAATGACATTCTCTTACAATTTATTGAATTTGGTGATTTTATGAATTTTTTTAAAATTTTCAAATGGCATTCCTTGTAGAAGTTAACTAAATCATCACTTTCTTTGGTGTTTCAGCCCTTCATGCTGCAGGTTTGTCAGGTCACGCTTCGACGGTGAAACTTTTACTGGACCACGGAGCTCACATCGATGCCGTGGACCGCCTGAAGCACACCGCCTTGTTCCGAGCTTGTGAGATGGGACACACCAGTGTGGTTCAGTCATTGATTGATTATGGTGCTAGAGTCGATGTTCTGGATTTCGATGGGAGGTCACCCCTTCATTGGTAAGATTTTATTCAATACACAACTGGAAGTTCATGAAAAAAAATTTTCTCTTGAGGATACGCATTTTCAGACATATGGCAATTACATGTACTTGCACCAATGATTCTTTGAAGAAATAAGTGTGACAAACGAAGAAAAAAACAATGGTGAAGTTGTCTTTTTTTCTTCTGACATGTTTTAAAAAACTGTTTTGTTTCCTCTATAACAGGGCAGCTTTAGGTGGCCATTCCTATATTTGCCAGACTCTCATTAAGTATGGCGTGGATCCTAATATCAGAGATTACTCAGGGTCAGTCGATTAATAAGTCATACTGCAAACCAACTTTTATTCACAATGACTTTATTTCGCGATTTACCAAGTCTATTTTGGATCTGTTGTTAATAGACACAGAGACTTTAAAGAACGGTTTGCGGTGAGAAATAATCGTGATGATGAGGCTCTCGCGAACTAGCTGAAATTTCTCATGCAGGAATAAAAGTTGGTTTACAGTAATCTCATATGTGTACAGCATTTTTTTTTCGTTGGGAAAGACACTTTGTTTTTTTTGTAGGACACTTTATAGTATATTTATTTCAATAATTTCAATTATAATTTAGGATAACATAAAGTGAGATTCTGAAGTTAAATTCTCGTCATATATGTAGATCTAAAGCATACATGATCAGCTTGTAATTAAATAAACCTTTCTCTGAAAAAGTATCGAACCAAAATTATAATCAACCAAATATAGATACAGAAAGTATTTAAGTGAAATTCACCAAAATTGAACTTTGTCAGTACAGTTCTGTCTTTTTAAATTGAAAGTGATTAAATATCCCACTGATTTAGAGGAAAAGAATGTGCCTGCATGATATGAGCTTTCCTCTTTCTTGTCTCCTACAGGCGGACTCCTTTGCAGTGCGCTGCGTATGGTGGTTTTGTGAACTGTATGTCAGTGTTAATAGAACACAAGGCAGATGTTAATGCCAGGGACAGAGATGTAAGTCAAGTGACAGGATGTACATTTCATTATAATTAAATTAAACCCTAAGGGTTTAAAATTTAATGTTTCATACAAATTAATGTACATGAAATATATATATGTAAATATCTTTATAGTTCTACTAAACTTTAGGAAGTTACGAAATTTCAGCATTTCATACATGAATTGTACATTTCATTGAAAGTGAGTAATTTATAACTTGAAGATGAAAAGTTGATAATTAGATAGACATTAAATAATATTTGACTATTTCAGGGTATGACAGCTTTACACTGGGGGTGTAGTAAAGGACATTTAGATGCTGTTAAGTTACTGATTGAGTACCAAGCCTTTCCTAACCACATGGAGATGACAGAGGACAGGTTAGTGTCTCAGGCACATTGAACCATCACTCAAGTGCATAGTTGATATGAAATCTGAGCTTGATTGATAATAGGCAATATTTCTACTCTAACCTTATTACTGTAAAAAACTTTTTATACCCCCCGCAAACGAAGTTTAGGGGGGGTATATTGGAATCACCATGTCCGTCTGTCCGTCTGTCTGTCTGTCTGTAGACGAGATTTTGTCCGGACCATTACTCAGAAACTATTGGAAGGATTTGTCTGAAAATTTGTACACATATTATTCACCATATGAAGTTGTGCACCTTATATTTTCATCTTGATTTGATTATTATTTTGAATTTTACAGGTGTTTTTTCATTTTTATTTTGTGGTTTTGTCTGGACCGTTTCTCATAAACTATTGCAAGGATTAATCTGAAAATTTGTACACTTATTATTCACCATATGAAGGTGTGCACCTGGAATTTTCAACTCTTTTTGTTAATTTTTTTGCATTTTACAGGTTTTATTTTTTATTTTAATTGACTTGTTCATTTTGGGTTCATGTATAAGGTTTGAGATATAGAATCTAGAATATCTGTTCAAAAATACTACAGCTTAAAACTACTCATAAAAACTTAAAAAAAGAAACATCATAAAGTGTTAAAAACAGTTTTTACATTGCACAGAAGATAATGTAATTTCATTTGTCTCTTGGGAATAATGACTGGACATGCATCCAGTTAAAGATAAATTAATGAGTTTGGTGTTGGAAATTGTTAAGGCATATCTCTTATCAAGTGTGTGTGTTATCTATCTCCAGGGAATAAGGCACAAGAATTAAAGATCTCTCTTCTCTTATTCTCTTAATTGTAATTTATTGTCTGTCAAAGCACTTCATTACTGGATGACCAGCTCTTTATTTTCAAAATGCATTTCAAATTGATATATCAAGATTAATTTGATTTTGTATAATGGTTTTTTTCAACAATCAGTTTGCAGAGTGACATAACACATAATTGCAATATATTTTTTTAATGCAGTAATAAAAAAAAATAAAATGAAAAAATTAAAACAAAATGTTACAATGGAATTACAATGTATTAGTTTTGATGTTTCATTTGGTTGCACCTTTGTTTCATTCATTAAGAAACATGATGAGCAATTGTATTTCACTGCAAATTTTTGTAAGTAAATTGTGAACACCTCTAGATCCATAAAGTATTTTTGAATTGGCACCTTCTCTGAAAAACCCAGCGGGGGGTATTTGTCCCTATTGGACAGTTCTAGTTATTAATGAAAACTTCAATTTTTCACGTAGTTACGCGAGTTTGTCTGTTGAGGAAAATTACAATTTCTTGTATATTTATGATAGTAAGGATTATGTGTAACAAAACCATATATAGCTAGCAAAAATGTTGCCTCACTTATAAATACGCAATAGCTATCTCACAAAAATAAGGTGTCACAAAAATATAATAATCTACAGTATGCAGCTTACATACGATGTGACATTGGTTAGCATATTTTAGAATTTATAATACATAAGAGTAATTAATAATTTCTTCCTACTACTACAGTCCTTTGGCCAGTTCCGAATTTTGACCAGTTCCAAATAATTATTAATTGAAGAGCTGATAATTAACAAATTCAAGGTGTAAAAATAAATTGATACCTATGGTAAGAAGGCTTAAGTGATATGTGTTTGAATTATGTGAAGTTTGATTTTTTCGCTGTCAGTACGATTTTGTTATCGTACTTGAAACAGTTGACATACTTTTACAATGCAACAAATCTGAATCAACATGACACGTGAGTCTGCAGAAAAACCTCTGTAGAAACGTCAATTTTTCACATAACATTCCAGGTATCAAAAGTCAGTTTGATATGTACTCTAACAAATACTAAAAGTTTGTCTTAAATATATACTTAGAACACTGGAAGATATTGGAATATTTTTGTGTTGTCCTTTTACTAGTTCCGAATACCCATTATAAACGCTATAATAAGTATTCATTTTTCGTTGTTTTCTTCATTATTAATGTGACTTATTATACCCAAGCTTGAAAAGAAGGGGTAGAGGGTATATATTTTGATGGGATGTTTGTCCATCCATCCGTCATTAGGTTCGTCCGTCTAGCTGTATGTTCGCCCGTCTTACACGCTTTGACCCATTTCTTCTCCGCAAATCCTTTTCTACCACTGAATGAAATTCAATGAGACTTTCGCAGAATTTGATGAGGCTTTTACAGAGGCTTTGTTAAATAATAAATAGTGCCAAAATGGATCTTCTAGTTTATTTTTTGATCGACACATAATTTGGGCTCCTTTAGCAAAACATGGATACTGTCATTCTTTCATATATTGAAGGGTATACAGGGTGTTTCACAATACATGTCACACATCTAAAGACAGATAGATAAATAACAACAAAAGCTACATACACATTTTATATTTCATTTTAATCGGCATATATTCAAAATTATTTTGTTTAGTCAGAAGTATCCAAAATCCACCACCTCAGTTACTATGGCAACAAATCCTAAAATGTTATTCGTCAAGTGCTTTCCCAACATTGTCCTAAATAACTTAAGAGACTAATGTTTATAAATTTCTGATCACTGTTTTGTAAGTTTCCCAAGATTTTATAGACTTTTCTTGTTTTATATCTGGCTTTTTAGAACCACCAAAGTGCATATCTATTTTTATTTAAAGTTGCATTTAAATAAATGTGTCGTTTAAGAACTATCGGTATGTGTTAATTGGTGTCCACTTCTTTCACTCTTCCTTTCAGTCAATCTTGCAAACTTTTACCCCGGCTTTGAATGTCATTTGACTTTAAACGTTGAAATCTTGTATGCAGACATACTTAACTCAAATTTAAGATTTCGAAATGCTCTTGATACATTACTGGCATCATTACAACCCATCTCCCTAAACTCAGACCTGACTTTCATGAGGTTTTCTCAATGATTGACTTCACTCTGATATTGTTCACATCTCTTCTTGATATTTTGGGGGTGGGGTAGGGTTGGGTGAAGAGGAGGCAGGGTTTAACTGTCTTTCATCTTTACATTTTAATTTAATCTAAACCCTCTAATTATTCTTAATATAAGAAAAGTAGACAGTAATTTCTGGTCTAGTTATTTTTTATCATCACCCCCTGTAAAATATATAAAATATCGTAAACGGTTCTTATAATAAAAAATTACAACAAATTATTGCTGCAAGTTTTACGCAATTTTGAGAATAGCTGAAATTATGACATCACTGATTATATCATCAGTTACTTCATGGTTTATCATAATTTTTCCGATATTTTGCAACATAATAATTTTAGATCAATATGCTTAACTATAATGTTTTGGTTTTTTGGGTATCATGTTCGATATTCAGATTATGCCCATTTAGATGTGTGACATATATTGTGAAACACCCTGTACACATCTCCTATCCGCAGTTCCTCCTGCCCGCACCTCAGATCTCCACATTTTTTCCTTATTCAAAATAAGGAAAAAATGCGGACGGGAGTATTTGGACTAATTTTCCGCATTCATTCCAGATTTTCTCCGTATTCAAATTTCCAGATTTTCTCCGTATTCAAAATATGGAGAAAATGTGGATGGGAGTATTTGGACTCTTTTTCCGTATTCTCTCCAGATTTCCGCATTTCCATATATACAAAATATGGAGGTATTTACTTGGTTGATAAAATGCGGAAATACGGAAATCTGGAGAAAATACGGAGTTAATCACATGGTTATAAAATGGCTAATAAAACCGCTACATGATGCATAACACATACATAAATATTTACAAAACCATCAACAATGTGCAAAATTATATACAATTTATTATATCATTATGAGAAAAAAACATATAAATGAATGAACAAAATTACACATTATGTTCATGAGCAATGTATTGGATCTTATATCTTTGACAAACAAATAGGAGCATGTATGGAAAAAAAACTGGAACTCTTATTTAAGCCACAAGTTCATCATGGAAAAAATGTGGCATTTTTTAATATTCATATTAAATAAATGGAAATTTATTCATTCTATTTAAGCAAAAGTGGGAGTGAAATGTTCAACACTATTAGGTATTGGGGAAAAAACAACAATTGACATAGCATTGAATATTTACAAAACAAGAAAAATTTTTAGACATTTTTT